TTGTTCTCCTCTATTTTTCTTGTGGTGGCCTCTAGTTTCCCGTTAGAAAAATTTAAATACGTCCACATTTGAAAATGCGTTTGTGTTCTGTGGAGATTTTTCAACACAAATTCCCCCCCACCCTCGATCCACCACTCATTATCATGGATAACGGCCTTTGTTGTAACTTCATTAACATAATTTGTAAGTGAGACCTTAGTTTTCGTATGCTTCCTCCTCCTTGGTGTCTTTTCCTCGGCTTGTCCACATATTTAATGACCCAATCCCAACATCGTAAATTCTGATTGTTTAGACTGCTTGTATGCTTAGTTGGGCAAGAAAACTTAAATCCCCTACGAAGAATTTCTTCATTTCGGCTAGTTAGTTTCCTTAAATTGTTGGGTTTTTGAAATTTATGGCGATCTTGAACCTGAAAAAAATTTAGCTACAAGAAGTTTTTGTAATTTAATAACATAAAGTAGCTAAAATTATGGCGGAAAAATATAAGGGACAAAATTGAGTGAAATATTCAAGAAGAATGTGTCAATAACTTAAAAATACCGAAAATCTAAATATATACATAAATTGGCCGACAGATAGATGGAGAAATTGATTGAGACACAAATATGCAAAGGCTATAGTCGTGCTGGCCTGACCATGTGATACCCTACAACACTATCATATGTTGGAAGCCCCCTTATGTCCCAATCCAGCCCGGCACAAATATTTCTTTTGATTTTTGACCGCGGCCATTTGCCTTGAATTTACGCTCTCCTCCCTCTCTCTCTCCCTCTCTCTCTGTCTCTGCTGATAGGTATTCCAAACAATTTCTTACGAAATTGTGGTCTATTTTGCCCACTAAATAGAATCTAATCGTTATCCGAATTTGAAAAGTTCTGCCCTGACCTCATCTCCGACCTCATGTAAAATTCCGTGTCGATTGGTTTTTAATTGTTACCCTTTAGGGCATAAGTAAATTTCTTAAACTTCGAAAAAAATAAGAAAATTTCTATTTTTTTTTTTGTAAATTTGAACCCCCTGACCATAACCCTACCCAATGGGAAAATTGTTTTAAGGTGAAAAAATATTACAAAATGTACAAATCAAATTGTAAAATCTGATGCAGGCCGACCTTTGAATACCCTCCAGCATTTGGAACGAATTTGGCAATTTTCAAAAAAAAAAAAAAAAAAAAACAAAATCCGTTAAAAATTCTGTTACAACATTAAAAATGCCGAATGTAGCCATTATTTTAGGGTCTATACTACGACGTGGACCTCCATAGGCAACTTTTGTCATAAGCCAGTATTAGAATATTCAAATGCGAAACTTGAAAAAAAATCGGTGAATAATGTAGTTAAATCATCAAAATATCGAATATAGGAAGGTACCGATAATGGGGGCTATACGAAGACCTGGACCTCCATAAACAATTTTCTGTCATAGATACTACAGCCTACGAACTTCAAATACGAAATTTGAAACAGTTCCGGTAAATAATGTCGCTAAAGTCATCAAAATACCGAATATCGTCAGATTCCGTTCTATGGGAGCTATACGAAGACATGGACCTGTACAGACAATTTTCTGTCTTAGGTTGTAGTATCCATTACGAACTTCAAATACCAAATTTTAAACAATTCCGGTAAATAGTGTCGCTAAAAGCATCAAAATACCGAATATAGGCCGGTGCTGTTATTTTGGGGCTATACGAAGACATGGATCTTCATAGACAATTTTCTGTCACAGGCTGTAGTACTCATTGGGAACTTCAAATACCAAATTTGAAATAATTCCGGTGAATAATGTCGCTAAAATCATCAAATACCGAATATCGGGAGGTGCCGTTACATGGGGGCTATACGAAGACCTGGATCTCCAAAGACAATTTTCTGTCACAGGCTGTAGTACTCATTAGGAACTTCAAACACGAAATTTCAAACAATTTCGATGAATAATGTCACTAAAGACATTAAAATACCGGATATATGGAGGTAGAGTTATATAGGGGGCTATAACAAAACGTGGATCTATATAGCCGATTTTCAATACCAAAAGTCCTGCAGTCGCAACACACATTTGATCATGTGATTAAAAAAAAAATAATTTCAATTTGTTCCGAGGCTAGAGTAATTTTTACAGACGGATGGACGGACGGACAGGCAGACAGACTGAAAAGTACTGAATGGTACTATGAAAAGTACCGAATGGTACTATGAAAAGTACCGAATGGTACTATTAGAAGTACCGAATGCAACTATGAAAAAGTACTCAATGGTACTATATCTGCTATTGGGTGAAGGGATAGAGATAAAATTTATATTTAGATTACTGATAGTGTTTGTATTTGGGAGTTTGCGTTGTCTTGGAAATTCGTCCTAAATTTATACGAACAATACTAAATGGTACTAAATTTGTTATTGGGTTAAGGTATAGGTCTGGAATTTGATATTGAGGTCTTTGTTAGTATCTGGGATTAAGATTTGTAGATTGTATTGGGAAGTATGTATTTTAATTGTAAAAAATACTAAATGGTACCAAATTGTACGATAAGTATTGAATGGTACTTAATTTGGTACTGGGTGAAGGGATAGACCTGGAAACCTCAAATATATTATCGACATCTGTAATTGAGATATGGAGTTGGATTTCGAATATGTGAACTATAATTGTATGAAAAATACTAATTAGTACTAAATTTGGAATGAGCTCTCAGTTGGTATGTGGGAATGAATTTTGGAGTTGGTTTTGGAAATATGTTCTATAAGTGTATGAAAAATACTGAATGGTAACAAATTTGGTATTGGGTAAAGGCACAGGGTTGGAATTCTCAAATCTGATATTGTGTGTCCGTGTCCGTCCGTCTGTTGTAATCAAGCTATCATCCAAAGTAATTGAGATAAAGTTCTGAAATTTGGTACACTTGGGTTTTCGATCTGAACTTAGATCAATTTCAAAGATGTCGTCCATCAGCCAACTTATTCGTATATCACCTATATGACGGTACTACCTCATTTGAAGACTTTCGACGATTTTTGGCACATTTTTCAATGGAATTGTCTGTCATTGGGTATTTGAAGATTGTTACGGGTTCCTAAGTACCTTACAAAAACACTTAATATAGGTCCGCATTGTGGTATGGACTCCCATATTTTTAAGCATTTTTGCGGTCTTCGACCTTTTTTTATTGGAACTGTCTGGAATTTGGCATTTAAAGGTTGTTTTGGGTTCCTAGCCACCTTGAAAAAAACTGTTAAAATTGGTCCACATTGTGGTATAGTCCCAGACGCTACATATTTTTGAACGGAGTTATCTGGAATTTGGTATTTGAAGGTTGTTATGGGTTCCTAACCACCCTACAAAAACAGCTAACATAGGTACACATTTTGGTATATCTACCATATAATAACTCTATATTTGATATGTTGATGGCTTTTCCGAAAATTTTCAACGGAATCGTCCTAGAAAAAAATTGTTTATGTAGTCATTCATTTCGACTTTGTATGTATAATTGTGGATGGTCCAACTTTTTTTTTGGAAGAAGGTTTCTTCTTGGAAAATATCTCCTTTAGAGTTCTTCTATGGTTGAAGACTTATCCTAAGATCTCCAGGGGAGAACAACTTTTTCCGAGGTCTTCAATTAAACAAAATTTTTTCTTGAGGTTATTTATAGAAGAAGGTCGTTTTTTCGAATCTTCCATGGAAGAAGGCTTCTTACGGAGGTCTTTTATGGAAGAATGCCTATAACGGGGTCTTCCTCGAAAGAAGACCCCATTATGGATTCTTCTATGAAAAAGACCCCTTTATGAGTCAATTTTTAGACCCACTGATAGATATCAGTCTTTCTAAATGTATCTTATAGATAGAATACGACCTGGAGGCTTTCAATAAAAAATACCTCCTGAAAATCTTCTGTAAATTGAAAAACTTCTAAAAGTCTGAAAACTACCTCCTGAGAAAGAATAGCTTTTCAAGCAGATCTTTTATGGGAAGAAGGCCCTTTGAAGGTTTGCAATGGGAGATAGACCTCCTCTTATATATATCCTCTACATAGAAGATCACCAGAAGGCTTTCTTCTGTAGATTGAATTACTTCTAAAAGTCTGTTTCGGGAAGACTATTTGCTTAGAAAGAATATATGTATGGAAGTCTTGCTAAAGGTATCCTCTAGATAGAAGACTAGCTGAAGGGCTCCCAAGAAAAGGCTTCTAAAAGTCGGGTTTTGAAAGACCACTTGCTGAGATTTTCGGTAAAAACACTTCTATACATAGAGGTTTATGTGACAGAAGATCTCTGGAAATGATCTCTTATGGGAAAAAAAATTTTTCTAAAAAATCTTCTGTGAAAAAAAAATCCCCTTAAAAGAAGGACAAAAAACTGCTTCGTGAGACTTCCGCCTTAGCACAATTTTCCCTTTGCAGAAGATTTCTTATTTACTTCTATAGAGGAAGATCTCCTTACAAAATTTTCTATAAAAGAATGACTGTTTCCAAGCAATTCCATGGAAAAGACCTCTTATGTCTTCTGGGGAAGAGAAAGTCATTATCACAAATGAAGATCTTTTCCCGAGTTCTATTTTTTAAAAACAAATAGATCTCTGGATATGTTATTGGTCAATGACCTCTGGCTATTTAACTGTTATAACAATAAAAAATTATTTCATAATCAAATAGTATCAAATTTTCCATTTGGATATTAACGAAAACTCTGGAGAAATATAACCCAGAACAATAAAAAACGGTACAAAAGAGGCCACTTCCCATTTCGTCAACAGTCATCAAATGGGAACTGAATCATCTTCCACACTGATAAAATGCTGCAAACAGTTAGTCGATGAATAGATTTTTGGTGTGCAGCATTGGCTGCATTTAAGCGTCAATAAAACATGGCTTAGAAGCAATGATGGGCGTGTGCCATTAACCGGTCAATGGGCCATAAATTACCATCGACAAATTGAGAACATAACAGACTTTTAGAGTAAGAGAGACCAATGAGAATGTTATTAACACCAATGAGCTGATTATGAATTGTAAGTGCCTACATGAGAGGATCTATTAGGGAAGAGAGACCACTGAGAATCTTATTGACACCAATGAGCGGATTATGAATAGAAAAATACCTAAATGAGGGGCATCTATTCTTATTTCTTTCAAAATATTGGTTAAGGTTTGATATAAAATAAACTGAAGTAGATTTTATTTAATAGTCATATTTTGAATTTCAATAGAGACAAACCATCTGCTCCAATTATGAAAAAAATTCTCTCTTTTTTACTGCTCTTGGGTATGTCCATTATCACAGGATATTGAAAATAAATAATTTCCAGGATACTTAAAAAAAATAAAAACTAATTTTTTTTCTAATTCCACAAAATATTTCCAGGTCTAACCTCCCTGGGCCATGCTGTGTTAAAGTCCTGCGTTTGTGAGCCCGGATTGGAGGGTGCACCGGGGCCCAATGGTAATCCCGGTCCAAAGGGTGAAAAAGGCAATCGAGGCTATCCCGGACTGCCGGGTGCCCAAGGACCAATTGGTGCGCCAGGATTCAAAGGTACAGTAGGACCAAAAGGCGTTCCTGGTCGTGGTAGTAATATAGTCGGCGCTGTTGGGCCACGCGGTCCTACGGGTGTCTGCCCCCCATGTGCAAGACGTCGTTCCGCGTTTACTACCATTGAAGCCGAACCAGAAGACGATAGCATTTATATGCTAACCGAAGATGGAGATTTGGTACCGGTGCGAAAAATTCAACCAACACCAGAGCAGCGATCGTTGATTGAGAAATATCAGAGGTCACTCGACGATGAGGGGGAAGAAGAAAATAAAAAATAAATGTATGTTTAATAAGATATTTACGATAAGAAACAATAAAATAAAGAATTAAAATTAAAAAAATCCGAACTTTTGAAATAGAGTTTTATTTTGAAAAAAAAAAAAAAAAATGAATTTTAAATATGTGTCAGGTGGCAGTGAATTTATTAGAACTCCCCGATATGTTTAGTTCAAAAAAAAAAAAAAAATAAATAAATAAATAAATAAATAAATACGGGTTCGAAAGGAATTAGTAACCTGATAAGTAAATATCGTTAAGTGATTAAATGGCCGATGTACACCATGGAGGCAATTTGAGACCTCCCAAATGTAACCTAGACACAGGGGACTTCCTGAGGGTCTTCCATAAAATATGTTTTTTTGTTTTTCACAGATAGAATGCCTTCCAAAAGGTCAAGAGGTCATATATTCCGAAAAATCTTCTATGAACATAAAGCTATATTAAGAACAATAGCTAGAAGACTTCTTGGAGGTCTTCCATAGATGGAATTACATTAATAAATGATCCTGAATATCGATTATGAGCTGAACATCTAATAGAGGTCTTCCCCAAGCCTCTCAGAGATAGAAAACAAAGGCTAGCCAATTGTTTGAATGACCGATTGAGTTACTAGTGGACTGATTGAGATACCATCCGAAATCTCTGTAGAAACGAAACATTTCGTGTGTTATGTTCGCTGTATGATTAACTGTCTGATTGATGGATTGGATGTGGATTTATGGGCTTAAGCCTTTGAACTCTCCGATTTTTATACCTCCACCATTTGATGGAGGGTATGTTAACTTTGTCATTCCGTTTGTATCTCCACGAAATAATCATTATAGACCCCACAAGGTATATATATCCTGACACTAAGTCTTTCGAACGAATTGAGATAGAAGGCTAAAATTTTACACACATGTGTATTTTGCCAGTAGACAGGTTAAGTTCGTAAATGGGCCATGTTCGTCCACGTTTTCGTGTAGCCCAAATATAACGGTGCCTTCTAATATTCACCAGAATTGTCTCAAATTTCATATTTGAAGTTCGGAATCGGTACTGCAGCCTATGACAAAAAATCGTATGCAGCTCCACGTTTTCGTACAGCCCCCACATAAAAATGGGATTTCTCGACGGATTGTTTATTTTTAATTTAAATTTTAAGTTCTTTTCAAATGGTGGAGGGTAATAAAAGTTGGGCCCAGCCGAACTTATTTATTTTATTGTAGAATTCTAAATTACAAGTCTGAGTTTTTATAAAGAAATAGCAATATACCAGCGCTCTTATGACCATTTTATATAACGTATAAACGAATTGGGGCAGCCTGCTAAAATGTTACCTAACCGAGACTTTATTCTCAGCAAAGCCTCGGAATTGAATATGGCTTTCAAATAGAAAAAAAGTTATCCAACACATTCTGAATGAGGTCTTGTATAGGACTTCCAATAGAGACTTCTAGGGAAAAAAAGTTGTTTTCGAGGTATATAGATTAGATATGGACCTTTCATTGAGGTCTTCAACCGATTAATTTTTCTCAAAAAGAAACAGGCGTCCACTGAAAAACTGTCTTTTCACGGGGTCTCTACAAAGTGTCTCTCAATGTGGCCTTTCATGGAAGCCGATTCATTCTTTAATCGAAAATTCTTTTTCACCTTCTGGGTGTGAGGTCTTCGTCATGGGAAGTTATCTCAGGTTATTTTCATGAGGCCTTCTAAAGACTCTTTGTCTTCATGAAATATTTTATGGAAGAAGGGGACCGACCTTTAAAAACTGTTTCATTTCGAGGTCTCTCACAAGGGTTCTCTAAGGTCTTCTATAGACTATAAAATACGGCTTTCAAACAGAAAAAAATATCCACATAGACTTCTTGAAGAGGTTTGCATAGAACTTCACATGGAGACTTCTAGAGAAAGGTATATAGATTAGATATTGGTAAAAGGCCTTTCCATGTGGCCTTCAAACGATTAATTTTTCTCAAAAAGAAAGAGTCGACCTCTAAAATAAACTGTCTTTTTACGGGGGTTTCTACAGAGTACCTTTCAATGTGGCCTTTCATGGAAGACGATCCATTCTTTATTCGAAACTTCTTTTTCATCTTCCGGGGGTGAGGTCTTTGTCATGGAAAGTTATCTCAGGTTTTTTTCATGAGGTCTTCTAAAGGTCCTTGACCTTTATTAAATATTTCATAGAAGAAGGGAGCCGACCTCCAAGAAAAACAATCTCATAAAGAGGTGTGACCTTTTAAGGAAGATGGCCCTTTTTTAATCTCGTCTGCTTTCTTGCCTTCTGTGGTGGACGAACTTTCAATAAGGCCTTATGTGGAAGACAGCCACTGTGTCAGGTCTTCGCCTTAGGAAGTTTTTTATGAGGTCTTCTATAGACTCTTTGCCTTCACGAAATATTTCGTGGAAAAAGGGGACCGACCTCTAAGAAAAACAATCTCATAATGAGGTATCCTACATAGAAACTCTCATTGCGGTCTTGTAAGGACCTCTATATGTAGCCTTCTAGACGAACCTTTTTTCAATCGAGTTTTCTTTTTTTGTCTTGTTTAGAAGACAAACTTTCAATAAGATTTCTGTTGAAGATAGCCAATGTATATGGACTTCATCATGGAAAGTTCTCTTAGGTTATCTCCATAAAGTCATCTAAGGATCTTAGCCTTCATGAAATATTTCGTGGAAGAAGGGTACCGACCTCTAAGAAAAAATCCCATAACGATGTCTCCAACAAGGGACATCTCAATGCGGTTTTATAAGTACCTCTTAATGTGGCCTTCTAATAAAGAGGACCATTTCGAACTTTTATTAAGGTCTTATGTGGAAGGTAGCCACTGTATGAGGTCTTCGTCATGGGAAGTTCTCATAGGTTATTTCCATTAAGTCCTGTTTATGAAATATTACACATATGAAGATGACTGACCTCTAAGAAAAAAAAAAAAAAGAATCCCATAAAAGCTACCTCTCAATGTCGCCTTGTAAATAAGACGATCCTATCTTCAATCGAGACTTCTTATTTGCCTTCTGTGGAAGACGAGCTTTTAATAAGTCCTTATGTGAAAGATGTGGTGAAGGCTTCGCAATAAGAAGATCTCTATGGGTTATCTATGAGATCTTCTATAGAACCTTTGACCTTTATGAAATATTTCACAGATGAGGTGGTCATCTTCTGAAGAAAAGACTCTCTTAGAAGGCCACTTTGAGATGTCCTTATAAGACTGCATTGAGAGATCTGTTGTGGTAGATCTTATTCTACCATAGCAGATCTCTCAATGCAGTCTTATAAGGACCTCTCAAAGTCGCCTTCTAAGGAAAACGAAACTTGCTTCATTCGAAATTGCTTTTTGGCCTTCTGCCTGATTGCCTCAATTTGATGATTAGGTCTCCTACAACATACCACTCAATGTGGTCTTATGAGGAAGGTCTTCAATGGAGTCTTCTCGTTTATGGGAATACAACTTCTTTGCTAAGTTTTCTATGAAAGGAGCTCTTGCCATGAGAATTTCAATGGAAACCGCTGTTTCCATACGAAAAAATTACTTTTTATAAGGACCTTTACAGAAGTACTGGACTAAATGGGGTATTTTATGGAAGATCAGGTATTCCATGCGAAAAATGAGATTGGAAGGTCTTCTCTAGAAGAAGAAATCGTCTAAATTGAGAGAAATTCATTAGTTTTTCTATGGAAGAAGATCTTCCCTAGATCACTTATATAAAAGATCCGTTCGTAAACAGAAGAGAAAGCTTTTTGGGGAGTTCTTCTGCAGATCTTTAGTGGGAAATAATCTCATGATGTCTTCCATAGAATGGAACCTTCTCATATGAACTTCTACAGAAAACGATTTATTTCTCTTAAGAAAAATACCTCTTCGTCAGGCCAGGTATAGAGGTTCTCTACAAAGACGGTTTCTAGTCGTGTTGTTTTCTATGGAAGAATCTATTTTTGATGTTTTCTATAAAATAGTATGTACATAAAAAAAACTCTCATGAAATGAGAAGACCTCTTCACGAAGAGCTCTTATAAAAGAGAACCCCTCTACACAAAGAGCTATTCTCTAGAGAGATACCTCTTCACTAAGAGACCATTCATAGAAGAAGACTTCTTCAGAAGAAGAATTCTTCTATAGAAAAAACCCCTTCACGATGAGCTATTCTATAGAAAAAACTCCTTCGAAAATAGCTTTTCTATAGAAAAGCTTCATGAAAAATACCTCTTCTCGTTTCATAAGAGATTTTTTCTGTAGAAGGCCTCACTACAGATACTATTTTATAGAACAACACAAAAATAGATTCTTCCACAGAAAACAAGAGCAGAGGAGGTCTTCTTATGTAGAGGACATGACACATAAGAAGACCTCCTCTGCTCTTGTTTTCTATGGAAGAATCTATTTTTGAGTTGTTCTATAAAATAGTATCTGTTGTGAGGCCTTCTACAGAAAAAATCTCTTATGAAACGAGAAGACCTCACGAAGTGTTCATCCATAGAATAAGACCTCTTCACGGAGATCTTTTCTATAGAAGAAAACCCCTTCACGATTAGCTATTCAATAGAAAAACACCTTCGAAAATAGCTTTGCTATAGAAGTGATTCATGAAAAATACCTTTTCGTCAGGTTCTCTACATAAGAAGACCTCCTGTGATCTTCATGAGAGCCCTTCCATGGAAGAAACTCTTCATCGGAGCTCTTTTATAGAAGAAGCCCTATTCATGAGAGCTCTTCTATATGAGCTCCTTGATAGGAGAAAACTTCTCCATGAGTTCCTTCACAGAAGAAATTATAGAAAAACAAGTGAAAAACATTAAGTTCGGCCGGGCAAAACTTTTAATACCCTCTACCTTAGGGTAAAGGAAACATTAGAGCCCATTATTACCCACATATACCAATTTTTAGACATATTCATGGAAAAATGTGCCACAAAACATCAAAATACCGAATATCGGGCTATATGGGGCCATACAAAAACGTGGACATATACATACAGTGTTGCGCCAAAAGAGCTAGAGCCCATTAAGACCAAC